TTTTCAATTATAGGAAATGCGTTTTTTCTAAGGTACATAAACTTTTGAGATTGACTGTATAGCTAATACATCCTTAATTCTCTAAACTATGAATAAAATGAATTGAAAATAGAATAAAAATGAATTAGAAAATTGTATTAACCGGATTTGTTCTGTAACATAAAACAATGAAAAATCAAAATTATTCTTAATTTGTCGAATTCGATAATAATCAGCATCTTCCGTTTTGATTTACTGAATCCTTTGAAATCGTAAGAGTGTATAGGTCGGAGGAAAAGGATCGAGATAGGAGTAGGATATGGTGGGGTCGAATCCGTTGGACTAGCTGCGCGATACGCGGTTTCCTGACGAGCGCTGAGGGGGTGCGTGAGAGGGTGCGTTCCCAGGTAGGTATATATACTCCTGGTCCGTGACGCGAGCGCCCGATTCGATTTCATCTCCTGAATCGCTCATCAGGATACAGGATTTCTCTCATCCCGTCGCGTCGCATCGCGTCGGACAAGACCAGGTCTTCTCCTCGTCGGACCACCAGTTTTTTCGACTAATCGGTAAGCGAACGATTCTACGATTGAACCATGCTTCCTCTGGAGGTATTCATCATAGAATTTCAAACATACCGGCGAATTCATCATTCTAATAAAAATTTACAGGGAAACGTTTATGAAAATGTTAAGACATGGTTTAACTGAAGTTTGAATATTCGTCGGGTTGATCAAAGGAAAGTTTCGTGAACAAATTTATTGCATAAGTTATTCTCTCCTTCGTTGCCCTAATTAAAATCGAAGTGGAGCCGATTCGCAGTCATCGGGAGAGTGTGAAAGTTTCTTGTTATGTGCTTGACGTATGTCTACGTGACAATCTGTTGCGTGACACGACGATCAGTTTTACATATTCAGTGAGAATTACTCGTGCAATTTTTGTCATCGCCAACTCGATTTTCTCGATCACAGTTATGCAAATGGATCGTCGTCAAATTGCTGTGGTGATCAACTATAGAGATTAAAATTGTCACAGTAATAATCGACGGTCTTCATCATTCTCGTGGTTAAAGAAATAATTTGAAATTTAATAGCCAAGTTCTAAATCTGTTTCAAATTGCTATAATATAGGATTTAAATGCGTAGGATGTTTCGATGAATTCTATAATGAATATAAATGATTTTAATGTTGAATCCTAATAATATTCGGTGTATGCAATGTATATATAATCTAAAGAGATTTATTTTAATTGCTGTGATTAATTAATTGGAACTTCTGAAGAAATCAAGAGAAAAAGCTGTTGACTCATGAAAAGACGTAATATGGAGCAGACGGGTAAAATTCCGTCGGCATATTGGCTCTCCTGTGCCCGCAGCTTTGTCACCGGATTATCAAGCTTGCGACGACACAATATATCTATATTTTACGTAACAGTTTACACCTGACGACATGAATTCTTTTAGCCCACCGACCCTCGTAAAACAGAAGCAAACGACCGATCCGTCGCGGTGGTACGAGTTAAGCCAACCCCGTCGGTCAGTCTCGCCTATTGTCATTTATTATTAACGGCTCATAAACATCGCGTAACTGCTACTTTCATTTCCTTCGGGACTAAATATTATTAAACGACATTTGTGCGTTAAAAGTCCGAAAACAGTGCGACGGTTTATGCTTTCGTTCTCTATAAAACTGGCTTGAACTTTGAACGATTGCAATAGTCGTGATAAAATATTATTAACTGTTCGTAAATAATGAATGAAGTTTCATTTCTTTCGGATATCAATTGTCAATCGAAACTCCGTTGAAGAGTGTAGAGTTCGATCTTATGTATTCACAGAAAAATCTGTGGAAAATTTAAAAGATTTATAATGAGATTCAAGATATAAGATCCGAAATGAAATAGACATTACTATTTTTAAAGGATAAAACAAGATCCTATTTAGATATCGTTTTCTAAATTAATCTTAGAAATATTTTATTTTGCATAAAAATTCGCGTCTTAATAAAACTGAAATTCCGTATAGAACTCTTGAATCGACTAATCGACGTAGTTGATGAAATCGTGATTGAATCGATAAATCGAAGTGGTTGATGAAATTTCGAAAATTTCCGATCGCACGCGACTTTTGCTACGTATTTCGATATTCAATTTCAGACAGCTACTCCCTGCGGCAGGATTTCATTAGCGATAAACCTGTACTCCTGAGCTGTACAACTGTTAACTGTCGGCTCAATCTCTACATACATGTTTCTCTGAATTTTCGTAAACTGCCTCTTCTCGTATTCTATATTACAAGTTTAATTTCACAAATAGTTCTTTCATTGAAATTCGACTAACGATAGTTCAAACAGTTCTGTATGGAACTGATATGTTACTCAAATCATTTATTTTTAGGATTCTTCACGACGATTTCGTTTTGCATTAAATTGACGTATGTGAAAACGTAGGAACGAAATTATTATCCGTCATCAACACTGAAATCTGATTAAACAGAAAACAGTATCCTACGTGCAAGAAACGAAACTCTTTAACAGGTAATAAAATCAGCTTTGTGTATGTCGTCGGCGAATTACTATTGCGTTTGACAAGAGTTTAAATAGCCACTATGGCATGGGAATATCACGAAGTTCGGTTTGTTATCTTATCACACTTCTCTATCATCTATTGTATCAATCAAGTAAATTCATTTATACATCTTTTCCATTAGACTACGCTGTAATTTAATTGTAACTTGAAGACTGATAATAAATAACGACAATTGAAGTTCTGACATGACTAAAAGTAATGATTAACGACTTTATTAGATTATATGAGATTAAATGAAATCAATTCTTTACGAGTATTGTTCGATAATAATTTCCCGGGTAAGATCAATGAAATCGATATAATAGGGAGGTCAACGTGGGTCACAAAAGTTTGACCTGTCCTGATACGATTTACGATTGGCTGTCCACGGTTAATAACATTCGGGTTACTGCGTGGTCGGGCAGAATGAACGGCCATCAGTGGGTTGAAGCGAAAGTAGGAATTTTCAAAAGGACAAAAATAGCCATGGAAACATCCTTGTCGGATATATGGATCTTCTATTCTCTTGGCTCGCGGACCAAAGGGTATAATTATTTTATTAAATAGTTCGCAATGAAACGCAATAAAACGAAAGCAACTAGGAAATATATTCACGATTTGTTGAATCTATAAATTGAAAGGAACTTCAGGGGTTGGATTTCGTTTTTTAAAATATGATTTTGTACTCGATAGATTCTGTCACTGTTAAGATTGAGGAAGTATCGTTTATTTCAGCAAACGAGGATAATTCTTGATAATGAGAATGCAATCGTGTTGGAATATCGTCAGCTTATTCCTCGTTCTAATCATTTTCGGAGACGCCATCGTTCACGGGGAACCGGAACCGATGGCCAGACCAACTCGGCCGGAAGGATTTGCCATTGCCATGCCGGACGAATTAATAAAATATGTCGACCAGTTTAGCAATGATCTCTCGCTCAAAGCCAAACAAAGGTAACATTTTTCATGCACTCAAAATTTTTCATCGAACGGTATGAAATAAACTAAACAAAGTCTTGCCTACAAAATCATTTATTATGAGACTACAGAATTTTTATCATTACAGAAGCATAGAACTCATTGGTAGCAAAGTGGATCCTATGACAAAAAGCATATCTAAATTTCGTTTTTTATATTTAATATTTAAATTTGTTTCAAATAGTTTATTTACTATTTTATTATTATCGCACTATAAATAATATTCTAAAGAATGAAACAAAACATTTTTTATATACAAGGTGTGTAAATTAAGTGATGAGATTGATTTTTTTTTAATATTTTATTCGAATAGAATTACTATTTAATACTGTCTCCTTCAAAATAAACTCCGTGGGAAGTCACACAATGCTGGAGACATTGTGAATTCCAGCACTGCTATGAAGATTAGAAGAACTGTCTCTAACGCGGCTTCCCAAAGAACTTATTTTGAGAGAGGCAATAATTAAATGTAATTCTATTCGAATAAAATTCTAAACTTAATAATTAAATGTAATTCTATTCGAATATATCGAATAAAAAAATTAAAAAAGTCAGTCTCATTATCTAATTTACACACCTTGTGCCTAATATTTAAAACAAAATTGGGTGAACAGGTATGGGAAACGGGGGAACGCTCTGGACATTAGTCACGCGTGGAACACCATAAAGGCGATGTACGACAATTCGCGACTGGCCCAAACGAGATTCGGTAAGAGGGAACAAGAGGAGAGTCGTTTCTTCTTCGATCCGGAGAATTACAACGGCAAACAAGACGCTTCGCGACTCAACGACCGACCATGTATCTGTTAAACAATTATTGAAAACTATTTACGACGATATGTTATATAAGGAAGAAGATAAAAGGTTTGTGCTTTGTAATTCACTTTATTCTGTACACGTCCTGAGGTAATTAATTCGTTGTAAATTGCTTATTAACACGATGAACAACAATTAATTGTAATACCGGTCGTTTTAAGAACGTTACTTCAGTTCCGAATAAATGACAGAGTGCCTCTTCGAGCTATACATACATAGAAAAGCCGAGATGACGCGACGACCGTTTGTTAAAATTTGCGAGCCAGGACGTTGTACTCCAGAATAAATAACGTTTCACATGATATGCATCCTTGAGTCTTATTTCACTGCTGTTCACGTCGTAAGTCTGTTTCGATGAAACAATCAATCGATCAATTATTTGTTAATAGCATCTGTTCAGCAGTACTGTTGACACCTCATTAACGAGAAGTTTACTCTCGTTATCAAACATTATATACTGACATCGGTTTTATCACTAGGTTTTACAATAAAAATGAGTTACCAATTTTGTAGAGTAATAAATACATACATTTTAAACATTTTATTGAATCATTAAAGTGTGTGTGGTAACAGCTTGTCAACAGATTAGTAAGGAAATAATTTAATGAATTAAATTGGGATTATTAATTTAAAGAAACATGATTTTACGAGAAAGCAGTGACTTTGTTCACTCGAACGCTAAGGGGTATAAGGAGAAGCCTCTGTTTCTATTAGGCCTCTACAGCACGAGTCGTTTTACAACTGTAATTCTTTGGGAAGTCGCAGGCTTGAATGTTACAATTGAAGACTAAGTTTATCGGGCACTTGGTCAGCTTCTTAGTTCCGTTTTTGCAACGATAAAAGTAATTGCAATCGGTCTCATGCTTCACGTGTAGAAGACCGACCTTCGGGCACGCGTAGCTGGGCTGGCAAGATTTGGGCACAGCCCCAGGCGTTGTAAGCGTAGTTAAGAATGTAGTTGGCTCTGTAGTTCCTTCTGTTGCTGGTTCTGTAATTACGTCTGTTGATGATACTGGAGTCCCGCTTGTTGATGATGCTGCAGTTCCGCTTGTTGATGATGCTGCAGTTCCGCTTGTTGTTGATGCTGTAGTTCCGTGTGTAGTCGACAATTTATTGTTAGTCGAGCTTGCAGATACTGCTACAGTAGGCGTAGATGACTGCGATGCGCCTGTAGACGGCTCCTCCGAGGTCGTAGGTGTCACCTCAGCCGTGCAATTTGGCAATTTTACGTTGAATTGAAAATCGCAGACTTGAAGGACCGGGTCGAACACCAATTGCTTCGTCCCATTATTGTACGTCGGGCAAGGGAATATACACGCGCCACCGTGCTGGCATTTATAAAATTGATGACAGTTATCGGGGTCGGGCAAGTGAATCGCGATTGAATCCTCGTTTTCTTCCTGTGGACAACTCGAGTAGTCCTCTATGCACGTTATGTTCAAATCCGCATATTCATCGGCGATAGCCTGTGCCACTGTCGCGGCAACGATCAGCAAATAAAAACCTGGGGAAAGATATTGTTCGAGTCTTGTCTATTAGAGGAACTACGATATCGTTTCTTATTTTAAATCTCAAGTTAAACTTCACTTTGGTCGATCGATTCATTCTTTATAATCATAAGAATTATTGAGAATCAGAGAATAATTAAAAATCGTGAATGGAAGACATAAGTATAATAGTTTGATAGTTCTTGTAATAAAAGAAGATCGCTTACCCTTCATTACGAATGAAATTTAAGAGAGGAATCAGTTCCTTCCTGAAGACGGTAGTATCTCTTCTAAAATATAGGAGACGAATGTCATTTGTGCAAACGGCTTTTTATACTGGTTAGCGTCTGATTAACATAGTGTTTGTTCTTCTTATCATGGCTAATATATACTCTATTGGATTTGCGATTGATAGCTGTGATATTGATTATTCAATTTTAATTTATATAATTTATTTCATTAATTTCTTTCATAAATCCTGTCTTCATGGTTCAAAATAATTCAGTCTTATCGCGATTGTCAAGGCTGAAATTTTGTTTTCAGATCAATCAAGTAGGAGTTCGCGAAAATAAAATTCGCATTAAAATTACTGAAACTATTCAGTGTGTAACGATTTTTAATTTTGCAGTTCTACAAATAGTGTATCGCTTAGATAAGACTTGTCTAGAAAATCTATCTACATAAGCTATGTTATTTCAACTGAGCATATTGACACGAGTGAAAACTTGCATTTAATTTATTAACCGTTCGAATATAATAGCATATTATGTACTAGCTGTCAATGCTAAATTAATAATGCTTAAATGCTATATTATTATATACATTTTAATAGGATTATATTGATGCAATATACTTAACTCAGTAACATTTATTAATCGTCAGGCAATTCCATCAAACAAATGCAAACATATGAACAAATTCGATCATAAACAAATTTATTACAAGATAATACAAATAGAAGGAGATAGGAAAAGAATGGTTAAATGACCCCACTTATGGTCTCGTTTCGCGATGCATCGGCGCTGCTCTTTGTTCCTACGGCTTACAACTGTAGATCAATGGCCAGTTCTTACATAAAACAACATTAAAATTGAAACGTCATCAGACTTCAAGTCTCCTTTCGTTTTGCACAGAATGAAACGTAGCGAGTAATTTATAAGATTGACACACGTGTATTTTCGTACACGTGCTACGTGAATCCACAACGCTGGTTCTCAGAAATTTATATCGTGACACGGTGGAAGAAACCAAGGAACCCGCCCCTCCCCACTTTTATTGCATATGTAACATCTGCTTGGGCGGCTGCCTACATAAATTGATTCCGATAATCGAATTTCGATTTTAAACGTTGACTATCAGATAAATCAACAGAAATATGAGGTTCGGATTTGAGCTTTACACCTTTCCTTCGTAGTGGAATCTTCTGATAAATTGTACGACAAACGACAGGAAATGAGTTGTAATAAAAATTTTTAATTTTATTTCCGAAAGACTACGAAATGTATTAAATAAGGTCTTGCACATGTTCATGAAAATTGATAACGATTGCTTGCAATTGTTCTGATTATATTCGTTATCGATTGGATACATTATCAAATATATTTAAAGCCATTTAGGAATTGTGAAAGGAAGTGTTGGTATTTGATTAAAAAATATTCCGTTTTATTACAAGTGGCAGATTTTTAATATTACCTCATTACATACATGATTATACGTTAGTTACAATTTTTTAAAATTAGAAACATAAATATTTACAACTTCCTCATTAATTCATATCATTATTTATCTGAAACAAATCATATTTCGTTTTTAATTAGGTATTTTTATTGTAAGTTACCATCCGATTATATCTAATTACATTTGGTAGAATCCATAAGTTGTATACTATAAATGACCTGGCGAAAGTTCTATATGTATGTTTAATTCTTGTACAGCTAATTTAAGTCTGACTTCACTAGAGATTTAGTGAATTCTTAAACATATGTATAAACGGAGAATGGAGTTTTAGAAGTGTATAAAACAGTCGTTTCGCATTAATTTCTTTCGAACGATAAATAGCGAGAATGTAATAAATAATTATAATTATTGTCCAAGACCCGAGCAAGGATAATTCGGAGGGAGATTTTGTGGTCGGTCACACGCCTGCACGTAGCAATTGAAATAAAAGTTCTCCAAACATTTTACAAGTACGTATTTCCCATCGGCGCACTCATAATAATAGTTGCAGAAAAGTTGATGCCTTACACGTGCGTGACCACTCTCAGGGCACTTGTCTAGACAAGCGCCAGGTATACTTCCTCCAGGTGTAGTTGTAGTTATTGTCGGCGGAGTACCTGACGGTGTACTTATTGTCGGCGGAGTAACTGTCGGTGTACTTATTGTGGGCGTATTCGAGTCACCCTCACAATTTGGCAATCCTGGTACGTTCCATGGATAATCGCAAACTTGCAGCTTTGGATTGAAAACCAACTGTCTTGTACCACCATTATACATTGGGCACGAGAATAGACATGCGCGCCCAAAATCGCACTTGTAGAATTTATGACAATTCTGATATACTGGGAGATGAGTCGCTGTTGAATTAGCCGTTTCATCTACCGGACATTGTGGATGGTAGTCTATGCAGTATTCGGGCTTCACTACAGCGTTTGCTGTTACCGCGTTCACGGCCACGATTAGTAAATAGATTCCTAAAATTTGAACAAAATTATTATTTCAATTTATTTTTTTCGAACCTCTAGTGTACTCGTTCGAATAACACAATTTTAACTTGTCTAATTAATAACTGTTTTCGTTCAATAAAATATTTTGACGTATTTTTCGTGTTACCTACCGATCATCACGAGCGACGATATTTAACGACCCAATTTAACAGAGGTAGCTTTCTCAATACCCTGTTCCGAAAATACTGATCGATTTCGTTTGTTCGTAAGCTGATATTTATAGTAAAAAATCTGTCTTATCATTAATATATAATAATTGTTATCTTATCACATCTGCTTCCGCTCTACTGGGTCGAACTTCTGAATCATGCTCAATCATTTATCTCCTAATTAGTTCGTGTTCGTAATATCGTATTAATTTCCTAAACTGCACCTTTGCAACTAAGGCATTTAAACAATAAATTAAGGTCCATTTAAAAATTGTGAACGGGAATGTTGGTATTCGATTAAGAAATATTCTGTTCTTTTACGTTTGGTAGAATTTTATTACTAGCTTATTAGATACACATTTATACGACTGTTACAATTTTTTAAACTATGTACTTTATGTGGGTTCGTCTCTGGATCGGTTGAACATAAATTTACAACACCTGAAATGAGAGATTGTTTAAAGTTCTAAATACGCATGTGCGCGTTACAATTAATAGTAATTAGAAACATAACTGTTCACAGATTAAATGTATATTCACGATCTGCTCATTACTTCATATTATTATTTATCTGAAACAAATCATGTTTTATTTTCAATTAAGATCTTACAGCACGTGTTACATGTTACAATCGTCCGCTATAAGAATTAAGATATCGAATACATTGAATTGTATGTTAGCATTCGATTATATCTAACTATATTTGGTAGAATCCATAAGTTGTACATAAGTGACATGGCGAAAGTTCTACATGTATGTACAATTCATGTACAACTAATTTAAATCTGACTTAACCAGACACTTAATTATTCTCCAAGATTGAGATCCGAGCAGGGATAATTCGGAGGGAGATTCTCTTTTCGGTCACACGCCTGCACGTAGCAATTGAAATATAAATTTTCCAAACATTTTCGAAGTACGTATTTCCCATCGACGCAGTCGTAATAGTAGTTACATGAAGTTGGATGCCTTACACGTCCGCGACCACTGACAGGGCACTTGTCTAGACAAGCGCCAGGTATACCTCCTCCAGGTGTTGTAGAGGTCGGTGTAGTGGTCGGTGTATCGGGCGGTGTATCGGTCGGCGGAGTAACTGTCGTTGTACTATTTGTGGATGGTGTGTCCGAACAATTTGGCAATCCAGGTACGTTCCATGGATAATCGCAAACTTGCAGCTTTGGATTGAAAACCAACTGTCTTGTACCACCATTATACATTGGGCACGAGAATACACATGCGCGCCCAAAATCGCACTTGTAGAATTTATGACAATTCTCATATACTGGGAGATGAGTCGCTGTTGAATTAGCCGTTTCATCTACCGGACATTGTGGATGGTAGTCTATGCAGTAGTCGGGCTTCACTTCAGTATTTGCTGTTACCGCGTTCACGGCCACGATTAGTAAATAGATTCCTAAAAATTGAACAAAATTATTATTTCAATTTATTTTTTTCGA